TCAGCCCGGGGGCAGAGCCAGAGCAGGGGAGAAGGAGCTGAAGGAGCAGCAGGGAGCCCGGGGAGAGACAGGCTGTGAGACAAGGCTCTGTCTGTAATTTCAACAGTTTTTATTAACTTGACACAACTAAAAAGTCGTGTTTCTCCACTGCCTCTGGGCAGACTGTTCCAGTACTTTATCACTCCTTCCCTAAAGATTTCTTTCCTAATATCCAGCCCATGGTGCAGCTTGAGAATTGCCGTCTGGTTCTGTCAGTGCTGCCTGGAGAAAGAGACCAACCCCACCTGAGCACAGGCACCTTTCAGGGAGTTGTAGAGTGATGAGGGCAGCCCTGAGTCTCCTTTTGTCCAGGCTGAGCACCCCCAGCTCCCTCAGGGCTTCCTCACAGGGTTTGTGTTCCCAGCCCCTCTCCAGCCTCGTTGCCTCCTCTGGATGTGCTCCAGCCCCTCCATGTCCTTTCCAAGCTGAGGGGCCAGAGCTGGACACGGCACTCAGGTGTGCCCTCAGCAGTGCCCAGTGCAGGGGCAGAATGAGCTCCCTGCTCCTGCTGGCCACACCATTCCTGATCCAGGCCAGGAGCCATTGGCCTTCTTGGCCACCAGGGCACTCTGCTGGCTCACGTTCAGTCACTGTTGAGCAGCACCCCCAGGTCCCTTTCTGCCTGGGCACTGTCCAGCCACAGCATCCCCAGCCTTGAGCATTGCAGGGGGTTAATGTGGCCAAAATGCAGGACTGGCACTTGGATTTATTAAACTTCATCCTATTGGACTCTGCCCATCCCTCCAACCATTCCAGTCTCTCTGCAGAGCCCTCTTACCTTCCAACAGATGGACACAGGCTCCCAGCTTGGTGTCACCTGCAGATTTACTAATGAAAGACTCAATCCCCTCATCCATGTTGTCAATAAAAACATTGATCAGAGCTGGCCCCAGCACAGAGCCCTGAGGGACACCATTGGTGCCTGGCCCCAGCTGGATGCAGCACCATTCACCACCACTCTCTGGGCCCATCCAGCCAGGGCTGAACCCAGCACAGAGTGCTCCTGTCCCAGCCATGGGCTGCAGTTTTTCCAAGAGCATGCTGTGGGAGACAGTGTCAAAGGCCTTGCTGGAGTCCAGGTACACAACATCCACAGCCTTTCCTGTGTCAACCAGGAGGGTCACCTGGTCATAAAAAGAGATCAGGTTGGTGAAACATGACCTACCCTTTCTAAACCCATGCTGTACAATCTGAAGTCTCCTCATGTGGAGGAAACAGGATCTGTGACTTGGCTCTCAGCCCAATCATCCCAAGAACAAAACCAAGAATCACCATAGGATTTACCAGTGTTGGAGTTTGAACCCCACATCCCTACAAACGTAACAGTGTGAGTCTGCTTTGGAGCAGATAAATTGAAATCTACCCCATGAAAAAGGAAATTAACAGTAGCTTTGACCAGATGCAGTCCAAGTGCCTCTGCAAACCCATATCCAGAAAAGAAAAGAAGTTCACACCCTGACATCCCTCCCAGGGAATCCCGAGCTTCATGGATACTCACATGGCTCGAGCTGGGACCCTCTTCACAATCACTGAGACGTTCTTTGGGATCTGTGCATCAGCAGAGTATTCTGAGAACAGCACAAATACAGAACAAATGTGAGTCAGTTGGGAAGAATGGGGCAGCCAGGAAGGGCCAAGGCTTTAGGAAATCCCCTCCCAAGTCCAGCTGAAGCTCAGGAAGCTCTCTGCTAGTGGTGGTGTTGTGGCATCTACAGCACCTGACAAGGTCTCCAACATTTCCTGGGTTCACCTTAGTTTCTGCCCTGCAGGAGAGAGTTGGCAAGCATTGGGTTTGAATAGCCTAGGCTGTTGGACCATCTTATTTTTGTCACCGTGTGCTTTGTCAGACACCTGCATAGTGACCATGGCTGCCAGCTGTGGGTCACTGTCTCAGTGATCATTAACAGGAGAGGGATGAGAGAGAATATTTGCAAGCTGGATGGAAAAAGCAACTTGCATTTATCACGTTTTGGCACATGCCAGGTCAGGTCAGCATCTTCTGCCTTCTAGAGGTTTTGCACCAATCTTCAGTCTCATGCTTGTTTTTCACCTGCAAACACTTTCATGTGTTGCTTCCTTCATCAGCAACTCTTGTCTCTGTAAAACCAACAGCTGCTTTCTGAGTCTTTTGCTTTGTAGTTAATGTTTTGTAGTTTCTTTCTCTCTATTCCTCTCTGTTTTGGAGAGCTGAACAATCTAATACCTTGCATCACACCAGGTGTGCATTCCTCTACTCAAGAGTACAATATAGAGGAGAGGCAGAAGAATTTCCTCTGGACATACAAACACCATGTCCTGGACAGTCCCAGCCATCTTTGGCTGCTGTCACCTTGGGCTCAGTTCATCCTGCTCAAATGTGAGGCTTACACATTCCTTGCTGGGTTCTGCCCACACCTTTGGCTGGTGTGAGGTCAGTGTGGCTGGCTAGAGTGTGGCCTCCTGCCTTACCTGGTTCCATGGTGACCCAGGTGCCGAGGTTCCACCTTGGAACCCTGCCTTTGTCCAGGGAAGCCAGGCACTTGTGTGCTAGGTTTGGGGTCATGGGGTGGTGGTGTTGGGCCCTGATGCTGGTTTTAGTCTCCTGGCATAGTAGAAACCTTAGCTTGTGGCTGTGGGTCTTGATGTCCTGCCTCCCTGAGGTTAACCCCTGCCTGCTCTGCTTTGGGCCCCCTATTCAGCGGGCACGGCTTTGCCATGAGATTACTGGGGCCTTTGTCGATGAGCTCAGACATAAAAAATGCATTGAGGCCATTGTTGAGGCTTCTAAACCACTTGCCTCTGTCACTGTAGGTACGTCATGAGTCCCTAGGAACACCAAACCCAACAGGGAGCCTGCCCAAGGACCTCTGTCCTGACTGAATCCCTGTCCCTCCTTTCCACCAGGGACATCCATCCCAAAGGGGATCCGCACCCTGAACTGCACCCCAGAGCCCTCTGGGGTTTCCCATTTCAACCAAGGCCTTCACACTGACATTGAGCAAGATTCCAGGAAGCTGGGGACCCTAGGGACCCACCCCAGACAAGCTAAGGTCTTCTCAGTCCTGATTTGGCCCCCAGGGACTTTTGGGAATCCCAAACCTGCCTAGAACCCTGAGAATCCCACAACCGTGACCAAGGACACACTGGGGGCCCCTGGGGCCCTACCTAAGACCTTAGGAATCCACAGGGACACCAAACCTTTCCCAGTATCCCTTAAATCTTGTTCAGGACTTCAGGAACCCCCAGAAACCCCCAGACCTTACTGAACCATCCCATCCCTGAAACTCCAACCCTAGCCCTGTACTGATTCCTGTGTCCCTGTGCTGGTTCCAGCATCAGGACAGCGTGAGGAGCTTCGGGAGATCGTCATGGATGCCATGTATTCTCTAGAGGAGCGATGGAAGAGTGAGCAGGCTGAGGGACATGGGACATGGGGCAAGGGGGGTGGGATGTGGAGGCCTTGAAGGGGGATGGTGTGGAGGTGAAATAGAGGATATATGAAAGCCTGGGAGCTGTAAAGGGATATTTGGGGAATTCTGAGGATAGATGGGTTTCAAGTTATACAGCTTCTTGGGGAGTTTGAGAGGATATTTGGGAAAGTATCTCACTTCAGGAGGGATATATGGAGTCAAAGTGAGTTATATAAAGGATCTGTGGGGTCTGGGAAAAGTTTATGGGGACCAGGGGGAGGGCACATTGTCTTACCTGCACATTTGGGACATGCCAGAGTCCCTGAACAAGTCTCTGCAGGAAGCTGTCAACAGAATCTGGAAGAAGCTGAGCGAGCTGGAAAAAGGTATGGGTCCACCCTGGGAACCCCTGTCCTAGAGAAACTCCCAGAGACCCCATCTGGGCTGGACAAGGGCTGAATCCTGACAGCTCATAACAAGGATGTGGGTCCCCAGTGATGCCCAGTCTAACGCTGCTTCCTCCCCACCAGTTCCAGCCTGTGTCCCACCCTGTGGTGAGTGCCCATCCTTCTGTCTTGCCCTCCCCTGTCTCCTCGTACATCTCCCACTTCCCTGGGACCACCAAGTCTCTCTTTCCCAGGATTCCAGCCAGCTGCCCGTGTGTTCCAGTGTGCTACCTGCCGCTTCGTGGACTGTCAGTTTGCCCTGGACTGCCCAGGTATGATGGGGCCAGGAGAGGCTGTTGTGTTAATGGTAAGGAAATCTTCCTCAACTTCCTCCCATTCTTAGGTTATTTTTGTGCTATTTTTTATGTTTGGTGGCACTTGAGTGACTCCAGTCACACTTCTGGTACTGATTGAGGTCAAATGATCTAACTTTGCTTTCAAAGGTCTAAGCTAGAAAAATGCAGAATGTGTGCTCAGTAAGGTGGTCATACACTGGGGGCAGATAGCTTTTGGGATGGAGGTGTGTTCAGTGTTATAATGAAATCATAGTGAGCAAAGTTGATCCAGAAGACAGGATTTCACCACAGAAATCTCTGGGGACTCCCCGTGTTTCTCACCCACGGTCCCACGCTGAGTGCACCTGCCCATCCCTGCAGCCAGCACAGGAGCACCATCATGTCTGCCAGTGCACGTGCAGATGGGAGCTCACGAGCCTGTCAATGCTCCCAGTGCAGGACCTGTGGACCTACACAGATGAAACCATCGTGCTGCGCTGCACTGTGCCTTTCCACATCCCGCCCGGCGTGCCTGTCACCTGGTTGTTTGCCCCAAATGTGAGTCACACGTGGTCCTGCAAGGGTGTGAGCAGATGTATGTTCTCAGATCCATGTGTGCACATGTAGAATCATAACATCACAGGATGCTCTGGGTTGAAAAACACCTTAAATCTCATGTCATTCCAATCCCCTGGAAGGTGTGGACGCCTTCTACCAGACCAGGCTGCTTCAAGGCCCAACCAACCTGGCTTTGGATGCTTCCAAGGATGCCACATTTGACCTGCACAACCTGTGCCAGGGTGTTGTGGGCAGAGTGGGAGCTTCAGGCAAAGTTTGTTAAAGAAGCCCTGCTGCTGAATCTGAGGGTCAGAAAGGATTCCTTTGTGTATTTAAACTCTTTCCGAGAGATAGGTTCAGGTGAAGGTAAATCCTTCCTTAGCCTCAGATTTTGGCAACAGTTTAAATCTCAGGAATTATTTTGGCCCTCGAGTCTGAATTATGGCAAATCAGATATATTTATAAAAAGGAATTATTTAATAAATGAACAGGCAAAAGAGATGAAAGATCTTAATCAGAATTACTTATTACACAGTATAAAATTAAAAGAACTACTAATAGATTACAGCATAACACAGAACAGTGCACTATATCAAGGTATCTATATTAAAGCTAGCAAAAGAAATAGTATTGAATAGGAGCCAAATGTAACTTTACCACCAAAATGACAATAATGTACACAGATTCCTTCACTCAAACCCTGGTGGATTAACTGGGAAATAGGTGTCCCTATTTATGTGAGACATTCCACACATTTTCAGGAAAACCTATAGAAGAAGTTTGCTGTGGCTTTTATAGTTGTAAAGTGACTTGCTGTCAGTCAGAAATCCAGCTTATCTTCCGTGTCTCACCTTGACAGAAAGGTGTTTATTGGCAGTTGGGAGATGCCAACCCAGTGGTGCAAAAACAACTCATTACAAGACAGATTGTCCTGTTTGAGTTATCTGACTGGCTAACAAACAACAGATAGGCTCTTGAGGGGATGAGATGCTCTGCTACACAGGGCCTCACCACACTCACAGGGAAGAAGTCCTTCCTGCATGTGCAGGAGGTGACTTGTGTGTGCACGCTGGGTGTACATGCACGTGGGATGGGAGCTGTGTGCACAAGAAGCACGAAGGGGACATGTCAAGCACGTGCAGGACACAGGTGCCTCTGTGTGTGCAGTTCTGTGTGCCCACTGCTCTGGGCAGTGCTGATGGGTCCCCCTGTGCCCCAGCTGCGCACACAGGACATGGCACTGTTCAAGGAGCTCAAGGGGAATCCAGAGAAGCCCTTCAGTCTGACCATTGAGGAACCTGCTCCAGGAACCGTTGCCTGTCGCCTGGGGGAGCAAACCAAGCCCATTATCCGCAAGTTCTTCTACCTCAATGGTGAGCCCAGACACCTGAGAGCCCCGGGGCAGGGAGCAGGGTGGAGCAGAGTGGGACTTGGGACACCTGGCTTCACGGAAAGGGGGTGAGCAGGGTGCCAGGACACCTGGTTCATGGTGAGCAGGTGGATTAGAGCATGTGTTTATCAGTTCTGGGTTCTCCCAACGCAGGAATAATGTGCTCTGACACCATGATTTCGGAAGGCTGAAGAAATGCTTTATTAAGCTATAGTATATTACACCAATACTATTTAAAACTATACCAAAAAGATACCAAAGAAAAACCCATGCCTGTCTGGAAACACCCATGGCACAGGTTTAATTTAATCAGCTAATCAATCTAAACAACTCTCACAAGTGTCAAATTAACAAATGACTCATAGTAAACAATCTCCATGACACATTCCACATGTGCTAAACAACAAGAACAACAAATAGAGATAAAAACTGTTTTCTCTTCTTGGAACTTCTCACTACCTTCCCTAAGAAAAATCCTAGGAGAGAGAATTATGTCTCTCTCTGTTCAGAGAATGTGAACAGCACATGTGTTCCCTGGTGCCTGACTCCCCTGGGAGCGTGTGGGGTGGATCAGGGACCCCCAGGTGCCTGGGTCACTGGGGACAGAGAGGTCTGTGGCTGGAGCAAGAGCTGCAGGGATAGCTGGTCCCTGGGTGCAGGGCCCATGACCTGAGGGGGCTGGCTCTCCACAGTGTCAGTGGGAAGCGTGGAGGAAGAGAAAGGACTGCAGACTCTGTTCAGCACTGTGCTGAAGTCGGATGACAAGACACCTACCCACATACCATACCTGGGGCTGGCTCTGGGTTTTGGCTCCATGGCATTAGTTCTGCTGTTGGTGTGAGTACTCCTGACCTGGTGAACTATACTCTAAAAACCCTCATGCTTCTGGAGCTCTTCTCAGACCAGCTTGGGACTCCCTATCCCCTCTGCATTCTCAGTCCCTCAGGATTCCCTGCAAGTACCAGGGGACCCAGGTGTCCAAGGGTAGGCCAAAGACTGCCAGGACTCCTAAATTCACAGGACCCTCCATGTCTCCTGGGGCTCCCTTTGCCCTCTGGCCCATTCCAGGATCTCCAGTAGCACCCAGTAGCACTCCAGGCTGCCTTTACTTCCCCCAGATTCCCTAATTGCCCCTGAAACCCTACAACTTTCCCTGGTTTTCCCTACAACCCTTGCTGTCACTTTGGGGGTTCCAGTATCAATCAGTTACCCCAGTTGCCCCCAGGATACCGTAGCTTCACCCTTAGGCCCTCTGAGAAACCCCCAGATGCCCCTTGAGCCAAATGTCCCATGTGTCCCTGTCCTCCCCACATACACCCTGATGGGAATAGGGTGTCCTCCCTGCTCGCCCTTTCTCCATTCCTCCTTCTGTCTCCCAGGGGCAGCTGGCAGTGCCTCAGTGTCCGTCAGATGCGCCGCAGACGTGGACATCAGGGTACCCAGGAGGATTCCAGACCCCTGGATTCAGTCTAGGGCACTGTAGCACATGGATCCACCCCAGAGAACCAAAATTTCTGCAGTTGCTTTTCTTGTGCTAGCCTTAAAATAGAAATACAGAGTTCTGAAAACCTGGATTATGCTTGCGGTAGAAATATTGGGTTCTTGGGCTTGCAGACATTAAAACACGGTACTGGGCAGCATTTCCTTTCCCTGGGTGGGCATTCCAGCTGCAGAGCTCTCTGTGGTGGTGATGCTGCAGGGTGGGGGAGAAGGGTAGTAACTTGACAGACTTGCTTTAGAGCTGCCTTAAATTGGGCAAGAATCAGTGGGAGTGGTCAAGAAACACAAGGGATGGGTCCCTTTGGCTGCCCCCGACTCCAGCAAGGCCAACACTAGAACAATGTGAGCAAAACTGGCCAAATATTATGGTATCAAAGTGGAGTCTCAGGGCAAAAAGAGGAGGGGAAAGCATGTCTGCTTGCTTGAGATCAGCAGATGGACAGTGTCTCTCCTTCTCCCCTGAAGGGATGCCTCTGGTTGAGCTTCACACCTCCACGTGTATTGGTGTAGACCTGGGAATAGTTTGTGTATATAACTGGGTCAATATATATTTATAGCTAATTGATCCCTGTTACTATCCCTTCTGTTATTAATACATGTTAACATTCCATAGTGCAGTTAGCACCAACATCCTGAACCTGCTTTCCTGTTCCTTCCCTAAACCACACTATTTGTGAACCTGGATTGTGTAAGTTCTTACTTGACTGGGCTAGACCATGCTGGTAAACTGCAGTTTGGGGGAATTTGTGATCTCACACGTTCCCACTGAACACAGCCAGATTTATTGTGCCAGATGCTGTATCAGATTTATACTTTTGTGCACTGCCTGCCCCTGCCATTCTTTCTGAGTGCCTTAAAACCAAACTATACCTTTGCATATTTCCAAATTCTCTCTGTTCCCTATGAGTGCTCCTCTGGATCCCCTCTTTCTCATTCACTTCACTTAAAATCACCAATCACTCTCAGATGCACTCCATTCCTATCCAGCTGCTTTCATATCCTCTTTATTCCCCTTGTTGTGCTCTCTTAGAATCCCTCTGTTGTTCTCCTTGCACTAACAGATCATTGCCATTTTTCCCCTTGTACACTGTTGTGCCCTCCATTTCCCTCTGTATGCACCCAGATCTCGTCTGTTCCGCTTCTTGAGTACTCAGATCTCCTTTGATCCTTTCAGGATCTCTAGTGCTGGCTTTTCTCCCCTGGACAACTCACATCCTCTTTTTCTCACCTCAGATTCCCTCTGCTGACCTCCATAGATGCTCAGATCCCACTGTTCCTTCTGTGAGTGCTCATTTCCTATGGGCTCCACCATGATATCCCTCACCACCCCTCTGTGCACACTCAATCCCTTGTTTTTCCTCCAAGCATGCTTAGCTCCCCTCTGTACATGCTCAGATCCCCATTGCTGCTCTCCATCCACCTGTTTTTACTCCATTCCTGGGCAGATGCTTTCTTCTCACCCTGCATGGCCACAACTGTCTCACCTGCTTTACAGAAACCTTTTATCAGGCCCTTCAGCTGCTTCCTTGCAGGGCAGGACTGTGTCCCACTGAGGAGTCAAGACTTCTGCTTCCCCCAAATACAGACCACTCTCCTGTTTCATGCACCCCAGAACACACCAGCTGCTCCAAACCCTGCCCCACAGCAGTTCCCCTCCATGGGGACCTTGGGGCTGCTCTGCTGCCCCACCCCAAGCCAGGCTGGGCTGGAGCAGATTAAACAAGAGCCCCTTGACCTGGCAGCACCAGCTGCAGTGGTGGGAGGCAGGGACAGACCTGTGTTTGCTCTCCACCTGGCTGGGCACTGTGGCATTCAAGTGTTTGCTGAGCAATGCTCTTCAAAGTTTGCAAATATGCTGTTCCTTGGGGAAATTCCATCCAAGTCACTCAGCACTCACAGGAGAGACCATTCCAAGGATTCTTGCTGGCACAGGAATTCTTTTCTTTGCAATCCACAACCACAGGCACCTCCAGCTCAGCTGGTGTTTTCTGCAGGCACAAAGGAAACCAACCTGATCTCCTCCAGCAGAAAAGGGAGGCAGGACTCACTCAGCCCGCCCAGTGCAGAGGGCACTACAAATCCTTCTGTGTGCCCGGCCAGTGCAGAGCTCTGCGCTCCAGAAGGCATTTCCACAGGGAGCAATGGGTGAGTACAGGGCTGGGAAGTGGGCACTGCTTGCCAGCAATGGGGAGAGCAAAGTTAGGGCAGCTCAGCAAGGGGGAGAGGCTCCAAGCTCTGCTTCCTGCACTCTGATGGGGAGAGCCAAGGCAGGGCAGCTCAGCCAGGGGGAGAGGCTCCATGCTCTGCTTCCTGCACTCTGATGGGGAGCAGTGGCACCGGTGCCCTTTAGGGCCACTGGCCACCTCTGAGCACCAGCTGCTCATGCCCTGGCTTCTGGCTTAGCCCAGCCAGGTCCCTGCTCCAGGGAGCAGGGGTGAAACTTGGCTCAGGCAGTTGTTGGCTGCTTTGTTCTGCCCAAAACTACCCCCTGTTTGACTTGTCCACCACAGATCAAGGGGGAAAGGGCAGGTTGTGACCCCTCTGGTAAGCTTTGCAGCTTGCAGGGAGCAGCCTGATGCTTCCCAGCATGTTTGGTGCCCTCCTGCACCTCACAGGCTCCTGTTAGCTGTGGTGTTGGTGCCATGGGAGGGATGGTCACATTTCTTCTTTTCTTCTTGTCTCTTTTTACCAGCTCAGTGTCTTCTGTTCCTTGCTTCTCTGCTCATCTTGGCTTCACCAGGCCAATGTGTGCACACACAAAGCCTAAACACCTTCAAGAAATCTCCCTCCAACACTTCATTGAGTGCTCTGAAGAGAACCAGTAGGTAACATCCCTTGGGTATCTGGTGTTATGTGCATGTGTTCAGCCAGCTTTGGGTGGGGCAGCCAGCTTTGTGCTCTGAAGAGAACCAGTAGGTAACATCCCTTGGGTATCTGGTGTTATGTGCATGTGTTCAGCCAGCTTTGGGTGGGGCAGGACTGTGCACTGTCCCTCACCCTGGCCCTGCTCCAGGATGGAGGATGGTGAAGGTGTGCCCAGCACAGGCTGCAGGGCTCTGTGTATGTGTGCACTGTGCAGGCTGGGAGGGGTGGCTTTGTGCTTGAAGGGATTGTTTTTCCCCATTCCCTGAGTCACAGGGAGGGGCTAGATCCTCCTCACCTCCCTCCCAGCATGGCCCTGCTGCAGTGGCACAGCCCCTTTGTCAGGAGACCCAGGGGAGCCCATTGGTATTCAGCCTCTGGGGCTGCTAATCCACATAGCTCAGTCAGTCTGGGGCCTTTCAATGGGGCTGACTCCTGTTGGTCTTCCCTATGAAAAAGGAACAGAGGGTTGAGGTCAACCTACTCTCACCTCCAGACCTCTCTGGCCTGGGAGACCTGGTTATCCCCCACATGCCCTGGCCAGATGAATCTCCCTCCTACCAGGATCTTGTCCTGATGCCCAGGTTTTGTTCTGTCCCCCTGTGTGCTGCCCCAGCTTGGCCCAGGGACTGCAGCGAGGTTCTGGCTGGCAGCCCCAGTGGTGTATACATCATCCAGCCCACTGGGCTGCACCCCATCATGGTGTTCTGTGAGATGAGCGGGGCAGACGGGGGCTGGACCGTCATCCAGAGGAACCGGCACAACACGGACATCACCTGGGCCGAGTCCTGGAGCACCTACAAGCACGGCTTTGGCAATGTGCACGCTGACTTCTGGATGGGCACTGAGTACATCCACCAGATCACCAGGCAGAAGATCTACCAGGTCAGGTTTGTCATCTGGGATGCTGAAAACAACATGAAATTCGCAGACTACAACCTGTTCAGCCTGGATGATGAGTCCCAGGGCTATCGGCTGAGGCTGGGAGCGCACTCAGGGACAGCAGAGGACGCCATGGATTCTGACAATCCCAGGAAAGTGCACAACAACATGAAGTTCTCCACCAAGGATCGGGATCAGGACACTTACAGAGGGAACTGTGCCTCACGCTATGGGGGTGGGTGGTGGTACTCGGCGTGTTACTCTGTGCAGCTGAACGTCAAGGGGGGGCTGACGTGGGGCAAGCTGTGCAAGGGGACCTGCAGAGCTTCAGCCATCCTCATCAAACCAACCCCACACCCCTAGAACTCCTTCCCCCTCTGTCCACATGCAGCACATGGCCCAGCCAGTGCCCTGATGGGGCCCATTTCATGATGAGGCCTTGGGGGTGAATAGGGTTGTTCCTCTGTATCAAAAACTGCTTTGTTTTCCTCCTGTCCTGAAAAGCAGCAAAGCTCCTGGCTCTGTCTCTGGCCATTCACCTTTGGTGGGTTTTGGGGGAAATATTATTAGAATGCATCTTTATAAATATTGCAGTATCCAAGCATGTTGGTTCTGGAGAGAACTCTGTGCTCAGAAACCTAAACCCCTCCTGATCAGCATGGCCTTAAGCTCTTTTTGCTTTGTGGGTACAGATGTTTTCAGCAGAAAAGTATCCACCATCACCAGCTAACCTAACCTAAGCTATACTAAACCCAGGGTGGACCATGTCCACAACACATCCGTGCTGCAGTCCGTGTTCATCCTGCAGAATAAAATCACTTTCAGACCTGCACAGTGTCCTTCATTTTTTTGGGAACTCCTTGCAACTGCTGCCTGTTTCCTGCCAGAAACACACCTGAGGCTTCTAGGGCAGTAAGAAAAAGTCTTCAAAGGAAGATTTTTTCATACAGCTCAAGTGAGGAATTAGAGACAAAGCTTTCACTTGTAGAAGAGGGTTGCATTCCAAGTAGGGCATCTTCCAAAAAGGGAATGTAGCATCACACAGCCAACAGCAAGCAGAGGGTGTGAGGGAAGCACCAGGTCAGTTGGACCATGCCAGCCATGACCTGGAAAGCCAGGCCAGTGTCATCCTGCCTCATTAACCCTGTGAGTGCTGGGAGGGAACTGGGAGAGTGGAATGGTACTGCAAGGACACACTGCACCACATGGCTGGTCTGTCTGGGCTGGTGTGAGAGCTGAGACAGCCTGACAGGGCAGGGATCCCAGAATTTCGAGATTCTGGATCAGCTTGGGTCTGTGTGGAAGTGCTCTGGTGTGGTGATAACCTTGTGCACTGGACAGCTTAGCAGTGGACATGGTACCTGTGGTGTGGTTTCTGATGCTGAGCAGAGGGAGGATGTTTGGCTGCTGCACTGTTGTCTGGCAGTGCTGACAAAGCAGATGTCTCACTGGCTGCAATCACAGATCCACAGAATATTCTGAGTTGGAAGGGACCCACAAGGATCACTGAGTGCAGCTATTCTCTTTCCAACAGAGACCCAGGAATGCAGCTCAGCACCACTCGGGGCTCCCTGCTGGCTGGAATGTTGTTTACCAGGAGCTCCAAGCCCTTGTCCAGCCTCTCCCCTTCTGTTAGGCTGTGCATCCAGGCTGGAGCACCAATGCCTTTTTAAGCCAGCAGCCACATCTCTTAGTCCAGAAGTGCTGCTCTCAGCTCAGCTCCAGCTGGGAAGCCTTTCTCAGCCAGCAGCACCCTCATATCTCTCTCCATCTTCCCAGGAAGCAGTGCTGCCCACCTGCAGGTGCCTCCAAGGCTGCCAAAGAATGCTCCTTGGGAACTTGACGACTCCTCAGGAACAATGCACTGCCACAGCTCTGCAAGTGCCCTGGGACCTTGGTCACAGATTTTGGCTCCAGAGTCCCATGGTGTTCAGCATTCTGAGCCACAAACCTTCCTTGGGCTCAGCTTTTCTTCCACAGAGGGAGGAGAGGAGCTGTGGGTTCTTTCAGGCCCCAAGATCAAATTTCCCTGCATCACAAGGGACCTTCATAGACACGTTCCCTGTCTGCAGCAGGGAATAATGGGACTGACTGACCCACATCACTCACACACTCAGGGAGTCCACTGTCCTCTCCACACTCCAGGTTGTGGCGGTTTCTTCTCTTTATCAGCACAAAGCAACCACCCAGCCATGAACAGGGGCAAACTGTGAGTGAGGGTTGTGCATGATCAGGGCTTTGCTGGCCCTGTTGGCTGATTGTAGCCTTACAGCCACAGTCCAGGCTGGAACAAGCCATTGAAAGGAGTTTTGCCTAACACAGTTTCCCCCAAGTCTGCCACCCTGAAGAGTGGGCAGAGTGACCCCCCACACCTTGTGCAGGCAGACATGAGGCAGCACAGTCTGGCTCCAGGGTTTATTGCAGCTGATTCCTCCCACCATGGATAGCAGAGCTGTGGGGTGTGCGGGGCTCAGGGAGGGAGCAGGGCCTGGACAAAGCAGGGGTCACCGACTGCAGGGGAAGGGAGCTGGCACCATGTGCCCCTCCCCAGGACAGGGGTGGGTGCACCCACCCCACACCAGTGCCCGTGCCCCAGTGCCAGCCAGCATCATGGCACTGGGCAAAGCTGCCCATGTGCCCAGCGCTCCGGGTGACGGCTCCTGAGCCCCAGGGCTGCTGTGTTTTGGCTGGTGAGGGAACAGGAGCTGTGGGAAGAGCAGGATGTGCACTGGGACTGGCATGGGAATGGGGCACCGAGCTGGGGATGGTGGCACCCCCACACTCCCAGGGGGCTGGGCATGGTCAACACACATCTGTGGGTTTGACCAGGATGAGGGAGGACGCACAGTCACCTTTATCACAGAACCCTGGCCACACAATGTAGTTTTTGGCATTGAGCAGGACGTTCTGGCACCTGTTGTACCACCACCCCCCATAGCTCTTGGCACAGTTCCCGCTGTACTGGTCCTGGTCCTTGTCGACCGTGCTGAACTTCATGTTGTCATGAATGCCCCCCTTCTTGGGGTGGTAGAGGGTCAGGTAGTCATCCCCATCTCCAGAGTGCCTGCCCAGCCTCAGGGGGTACCCGCTGGCCTCGTTCTCCACTCTGAAGATGTCGTACTCGGCGTAGTGGGTGACGTTGGCTTTGTCCCGCACCACAAAGCGCACCTTGTATGTGCCCTGCTGCGTCAGCAGGTGCAGGTACTCGGTGCCCAGCCAGTAGTCGCTGTGCACGTTGCCAAAGCCGTACTTGTAGGTGGTCCAGGATTGCTTCCACGTAAGCTCGGTGTCATGGGAGTTCCTCTGCACCACGGTCCAGCCCTTGCCCTCGGTGTCCATGTCGCACCAGACCACGCGCGGGGGGGACCGGGCGGGCTGGATCACGTACACCCCGCTGGGGCTGCCCTTGCGGAGGTGGCTGCAGTCCGGGGGGAATGCTGGGGCTGCAGCAGCAAACACGGGGTGGGGGACAGAGAAGGTCTGTTGTTGGGTTGTGATTTCAGGGTTTATCTCGGGCCCCTCCCCTGATAATTCCCTGCCAGGTGTGTCACTCACCTCTCCTTTCCCCTCCCTGACCCCTCCCAGCACTGTCTGTCAGTCCTGGCATTCCAGAAGGGCACTGAGTGATTGGCAGATCCAAAGGATGCCCTCTACCCCTGGGGGGCATTGGGCCATCCAGGTGTCCTGTGTCCCTTTGTCCCTCCCCTCCTGTCCCTGCTTGGTGGCTCCCTGCCCCTTCCCTGCCCCTCTCCCCGGGGTCAAAGGAGCAGCAACCACGGGCTCAGGGAGCTCTGTTGGAGCTGGTGCTGCATTCAGAGGCCTGTGGGCCAGAATAAAGCTCTGCATCCAAACCCTCCATCAGAACCGACTCCTTTCCTTCACCATCACCTTAAAGCTTCTCCACAGAGGGAAACCTGAGGAGCAGGTTTATGTTTTCCCTGGGACTCATGGCATTGGATAAGAAGGCTTTGTTCTGCCTTGGTCTTATAGAGGTCTCTTCCCCCAGCTTGTTATAATTTATCTGATCTCTCATGACTTACTAGCCAAACTAACTAATTTGTTTTTCTTGGTTTGTGTCTGATGTGAGACAATTTGCTGTGGGTAATTCCAATTCAACCCATGAAACTCTGGGGTCTTGCAGGTACTGTAATCCTACCTTAAAAGGAGGAAGAGGATGTTCCCAATCCAACAAGACCTAAACAAATACCTAGGAGGATCTCTCCTAGAACTGAGCCTCGAAAACATGGCACAGCAACCCCTCCAAGCTGTTTTGGCACAGCAACTCTTCCAAGCTGTTTTGGCACAGTAACCCTTCCAAGCTGTGGTGTTTTGGCACAGCAACCCTTCTAAGCTGTGGTGTTTTGGCAAAACCCTGTTGGTTTCAGTGTGGACCCACCGAGGGGGTGAAGGTGACATGGCTGTAAAAGCCATGTCCCAGGGGTTCTGTGTATGAGGAGCTCCTGTGCTGTGCATCCCTTTGGGTGTTGGCTCCCCTTCCCTGGCACAGAGCAGCCCTGAGTATCCTGCTCTGCCCCTCTGTGCCCCCCTGTGCCCCCTGTGCCCCTCAGTGCCCCCTGTGCCCCTCAGTGCCCCTCAGTGCCCCCCTGTGCCCCTCAGTGCCCCTCAGTGCCCCTCAGTGCCCCCCTGTGCCCCCCTGTGCCCCCTGTGCCCCCTGTGCCCCATCCCGTACTCACCACTGCGGGGGCTGGCCGCGGGCACGGCGGGGCCGGCGCTGGCACAGAGCAGCAGCGTTGCCACCACCAGGATGGGCAGCAGCACAAGGTCCCGGTGCAGCCAGGGTGTCCCAGCCTGGAGCCCTGGGGAGGAAAGTGCCCATCACTGACAGTGCAGGGAGTGATGAACAAATCACCAACGGGATGGCACTGCTGTGGAATGTGCCTTGAGCTGTTTGATTTTCCAGCATCACTCTCATTCCATGGTTATGACAATGGGAAGATGCCATCAGCTCACAATCCAGGCAGCAGACCAAGAACTCAATTTTACAACTCACTTTATAAGTTTTTTGACCAATCACACAAAGCAAAAGCACATTGACAGTAGTTCTATCCAACCACTATAAGCACATGTACCTTTGGGTAAAACAATGCTTGCTTATTTTGAATAAAATACCTGCTTGTGAGCCTTAAAATACAATGCACAGAGCTCCATTATTAAGCTTCAACCTTCTTAATATCTTACTAGATAAACTTTTCTGTAGCTTAGAGAGTTATTCTAGACAAGTGCTAATACACAGACCATTGTTCTATTTGTCCTTGCTTTTCTACAGTTTAAATAATTTTTCTGCTGACCAATCTCATGGCTGCTGCTTAGCTCTAATCACAGTTCTGGTGTCTCTGGGGCCTGCCTTTTGCAGCTTTCCCAAAACCCTCTGATTTTGTGGATTCCCACACATCACCACAGCTCCTGCTGCACTGCTCCCGAGCAGACAGGAGGAAATGTCCTGAAACCCAAACCCTGTGTGCTGACCAGCAGCACCCCCTGCTCCCTGCACTCACTCAGCTCCTGGGGAGATGCCCCCGTGCCTGGTGCAGTGTCCCTGAGCAGCCACACATGCCACATGCACTGGTCAAGCAGGGAAAGGAACAAGGGGAAGCTCAGGTCACATTAACCCTCCTTGGCAGGATGTTGGAACACATGGCACAGGGAGCATGGAGCAGGCACAGGCTGGCACCAAGCATGTGTGATGTTTGGTGCTTTGCTCTGGCAGCCCTCCTAGGGAAACTCACAGCTGCTGTCCTGCTCATCATTCCCTGCATACTCACCCCGTGAGGTCTCATTTGAGCCCAGCACCACACTGCAGTGAGGTGGAGCTGAGCAGGAAACTCACCCATCACGACACACCCAGCACAGCAGCGCAGAGCAGGAGCCAATGGAGCAGCCTCCCATCAGAGCTGTCCACGCTGCCTTTATAGGCACTGCACACACCCAGTGTGCTCACACTCATCATTTCTAGAGGCACAAGGAGGCACTTGCAGAGTGTGGCTGGAGCAGTTTCCAGATCCCATGACGGCACAGCTGAGGGGAGGGAGACGTGTGCTTGCAGCCAGAGAGTGCAGAACAGCCCCTCCATGCTGAGGAGTTCCAGTTATTGGCTGTCCCTGCATAAACACTACATGTGAATTGCACACTTGGAGCCAAATCCAGAGGGCTGTGATCAAAGTGAAGTGGAGAGACCCAGCTTTTTAAGGATTTACAGAAACCAGCAAAGGAGGAGACGTCTGTGTGACCAGTCCCAAGCACGACCTTGGAAAGCTGAGGACAGGTCCTCAAGAGAGGTCCCCCCTCACTAACTCTGCACTGGCAGGTTTAGGATCAGTCAGGGGCTGGAGCCAGTGTCCTGCAGCCAGAGCTGCACCCTATGCTCTGAGCCAGGGCTCCAGGTAACAAACAGGGGTCTGTGGGTCCCTGTGCCACTCTCCTTCCCAATCCATGCCTTTGGCCTGGTGAGTCCCTACAGATCCACCTTCAGTCCCAGAAATGTTGATCGGGAATTTCTGTCTTCTGGATCAAAATCCTCTCTGGGGAATGTTTTGGGAGGGAGGGTTGTTCTTCCTGCCAGAGGGTTCAGGAAGCTCCATAAGCTCTTCAAGTCAAATTTAAGAAGATAAAGATGTGGCCCTTCTACCTTCTTCTTCTTCTGTGGTGGTTTCTGATCAGACTTTTTTTCATGGCACAGCTTCACACCTGCTCCTCACAGCAATCCAGGGTCAAGCTGAGGTTCCCACCAAACTTTCCATGCTGTGGGAATCAAGCAGTGCCACTTGCAGGCCTTGATGGACAGTGGCACCCAGACATCTCCAAGATAATAGAAAGAGTCATAGTCTTTCTATTTAGTGAGAAAATAGTCAAGTTGTAGTCAATAGTCATTAGTCAACTCCTCAAGTTCCACCAGGGGAGTTTTAGATGTGATATTTGGAAAAATTTCTTCATGGAGAAGGTTGTCGAGGGAATAGGCTGCCCAAGGCAGTGGTAGAGTCACCATCCCTGGAAACATTAAAAGAAATGTGGATATGACACTTGAGGACGCGGTTTGTTGGTGAGCACAGTGATGCTGGATTGACAGCTGGACATGCTGATCATAGAGGTCTTTTCCAATCTTAATGAATCCATGATTCTATGGTCAGGTTCCATCTGAACCCCTCAGTGTCACCTGTGCCAGCTTGGTGAGAGATTGGGAGCCAAGAAGGAGAGGAGGAAGAAATGATAGATGAGATGAGATGAGATGAGATGAGATGAGATGAGATGAGATGAGATGAGATGAGATGAGATGAGATGAGATGATGACATGAGGATGAGATGAGGTGAGGTGAGGTGAGGCGAGGCGAGGCGAGGCGAGGCGAGGCGAGGCGAGATGAGATGAGATGAGATGAGATGAGATGAGATGAGATGAGGAGGAGAAGTCTGTCCTGCCAGGTCCAAGCACAGTGGGAAGGGCTGAGTGTGGGCTCCATGTGAGGCAAACCCAGCTGGATCCAGGATCCTTGGTGAAGGGACACACGGCAGAGGGCAGGGCTGGAAAGGTGCTATGGCAGAGATGGGAGCAGTCCATCCAGGAAATAAACCATCCACAGAGGAAGTCTGAGATCCATCCAGAAAAAGTGGACACAGAGGGGACTGGAGTCCCCCTTTGTGCTCCCAGAGTGGCTCAGATGAGGACTGGAGCTCTGGGGCTGAGTTTAAACTGAGTTTAAACCTCATGGGCCCAGGGGAAGGCCCTGGGTGGGACAGGCCATGAGGGCCATGACAGCTGTTAACCCTGAAAGGGCAAATCCCCCAGCTGGGCTGGCTGTGGGGGCCCAGCACTGAGATGTGAGGGCTGGGGAGGGGGTCTGCAGAGAACTGGAGAATCAGGGTGTCCAAAACCAGGGGGATGTCTGGGTGCCTCTGGTTTGGCCTCAGTGCCAAACTTGAATGGGTTGTCTAGGGCTGGGTCAGTTGTGAATGTCAGGGAATGGAGGTCCCACAACTTCTCTTCCTTTTTTTTTTTTTGGTCTTTGAACAGACTCAAGCTGATGTTTTAAAACCTAATTTCCCTTCCTTCCCCTTTTCCCTGGGATGGATGCCTGCAGTGTTCTCAGTCAGGAGGGCTCCTGCAGCCCAGCAGCCAGAAAGATTTGAAAGAAAGGTCTGGCATTATCTGTAGACATCCATGGTGTGAGTGCCCTAGAGCAGAGAGGGGCTCCAAATGAGACCATTTGACATCAGTGGCACTTCATGATGCCCAGAACCCCCTTGAGATTGGTGCCAGGGGGGCACAGTGGGTGTTGCACAAGGGGCAGCGTGGCAGTGGCAGGGCAGGGGTGTCAGGAGGCACTGGAGTGGGACTTTGTGAAATTCAGGGCTCAGTTTCCCAAGAACACTGGAGTGCCTCTTCCCTGAAGGGTCTGTGGGGTTCCCAGGGGCTGCTGAGCTCAATGCCAGCTCTGAAGAGAGCGATTTACGCCTGGTGTTTGATTTCCATCCAGGAGGTGAAAGTCACCTGGGTGTTTGCTCACCAGTTGAGCCCTGTGGAGATGCCCCAAGAACGTCATTCCCTGGGGAAACACTGCACACTGAATTGGGGTCATTTCAAAGCATTTGCTTATTGCCACCAAATTATTTGCTTTGCCTCTGGAGAAAGCTCTTCACCTGTGTGACTTCAGTGCCTGAGGACTGATCACTTGATGGTGGAGAGCAAATAAGCCCTGAGCCACTGGTCCTGCTGCCAAGCAGGGGACAAGTGCTGAGGTTTGGGTCTCATTGCCTCCACCCCCTCCCCTGCCCAACCCTATAACTTTCAGGCTGGACACCCCTGCAGCCAGGCCAAAAGCACCCAGCTCTGAGCTCCACAGGTGCCCACAGAGACAGCATGGGTGAGTGTGGGGTGGGATGGATGGGATGGGATGGGATGGGATGGGATGGGATGGGATGGGATGGGATGGGATGGGATGGGATGGCACCTCATTGTGTGCCTGCAGCTCACAGGGTATCCCAGCACTGACCCTGCTGTTGCAGGGTCAGCCCTCCCCACACCCTGGATGTCCTAGTGCTGAGTCCCTGTCTGTGCCTGCTCTGCCCTGGGCTGAGCCTGCATGCTCTGCTATTTCCAGGTTATACCAGTGTAGTACTGGAGCACCACACAGACCATTTTACAAGTTTTGTATTCACCATTCTTTGCAATTTTCAGTTCTCTAAAGAAAGAGTTAAATACTCTAGAGTAGAAAAGGGATTTTTTTTTTAGATTTTCCTGCTGAATGTGTGATATTGAACAAGTACCCACATCTGGAGGTCAGATGCTCAATGGCACATTGCTGTCCCCAGCACAGCACCCACAAGAGGCTGATCCTCCTTTGCATCTCCTTCCTATGCAGAGTTTTCAGGACCAGTCCCAGGGAAGGGCTGGCAGGGCAGGGAGCATTTCTTCCCTGGGGGCCTCAAGGAAAAATATCCTTAAACATGTCCCTAAACACAAATATATCAACACCCAAAATGTTATGTAGGAGCTGAGAAGTGAATCAGTTGGACTGAAGTGTGTTTAGAAGACTTGGTGTAAAACTGTAACCAGCACTATAAGTTGGGACATCTCAGCATTCCCAGAATGGGGTGTTTGTTTCTAGGGTGGCTGCAATTCCACACGGTGGTTCTGGGCTGCCATCCATGATCATTTTCCTTCTCAGGCATCCCAGAGAATGGTGCCAAACCCAGGTACTCCTGGGAAATGCAATTGGTGTTGGCTCTGCTTGGTTTTGAACACTGAGGGGCTCACATTGGTAATCTGCCAGGTGAGCTGTGAGTGTCTTATCAGGAGCAGAATTCTCCACAGGCAGGCAGCTCCACAGTGTCCCACTCTTTAGGAATCAGGACAAACTTCTGTTATTTTACTTGGCTTGAATACTGCCAAAAGTGTGGTTTTTCCTAGTGCTCTGAACCAGAGCAGACCAGAGCAGCTGTCCTCATATGGAAACCTTGAAGCAGCCACACAACCAACATAAGCACAGAAAGGGCATCATTTACCCCAGACCCTGATCCTGGAGGGCTGTGCTGCCTTTGCCATGCTGCTGGCACACACAGAGCCCTGCCTGGGGCTGTTCTCACCCCAGGGTCCTGCTGCCCACAGCCCCAGGGCAGCCCCAGCTCAAACCACTGCTGAGGGCACGCCTGAGTGCTATGCCCAGCTCTGGCCCCTCAGCTTGGAAAGGACATGGAGGGGCTGGAGAACATCCAGAGGAGGCAACGAGGCTGGAGAGGGGCTGGGAACACAAACCCTGAGAGGAAGCCCTGAGGGAGCTGGGGGTGCTCAGCCTGGACAAAAGGAGACTCAGGGGTGAACTTATCACTCTCTGCAGCTCCCTGAAAGGGGCCTGTGCTCAGCTGGGGCTGGGCTCTGTCTCCAGGCAGCACTGACAGACCCAGAGCACACAGCCTCAAGCTGCAGCAAGGAAATACAGGCTGGATATCAGGAAAAAGTTTTTTACAGAAAGGGTGATAAAGTTTTGGAATGGCTGCCCAGGGAGGTGGTGCAGTCCCCATCCCTGGGTGTGTTTAACAAAGCCTGGATGTGGCTCTGGGTGCCAGGGTTGGGTTGAGGTGTTGGGGCCGGGTTGGACTCGATGATCTTTAAGGTCTCTTGCAACCCAGGGATTCTGTGGATTCTGTGAATTCTGTGATTCTGTGAATTCTGTGCTATGGGAGCTGGGCAGAAAGAGGATTCGTCCCTCTGTGTTTACCCTGCTTGTTATGTCTATCCCAAATCTTGAGTTTTATAGGGATTTCTGATCATGGGCACTTTGGGTTTGGACAAGGTTTTGGCACTTCTTTGATCGCAAATACCACTACAGCAGGTGCCACCACT